ATTTTTCTTGAAAGAATAATTCATAGCTTTAATCCCTGGTAAAAAGTAGTTTGGGTCTGACTCTATTGCTTCCCTTACTTTTTTAACAACTGTATCAAATACTTCAAGTCCATTATTTTTTTTATTTGGAGATTCATCTTCTGTGTTTATATTACTATTTAATTGATCTACTTCACCCGCGACTTCAACCATTTCACTAAATTCTTTAGTTAAGTAATTATCTGTTGTTTTTTCTAATTTATTTGATAATACTTGTTCATCTGTGGTTTTTGTACTTTTTTCCATAATATTACTAGTGTTTATTTTTTTATGTGCTCCGTACCACCCAGGATCAATTTCTGTACTACCTGTAGCAATTGTATGTAATTTTTTTCTTACATTTTCAGTGGTTGGCAAACAAAGTGAAAGATCAATCTTAAGATCTGTTGCTACAAACATTTGGTGTTTACACGGTTTCCCTGTATCTCCTTGTTGACAAGAACATATACCAAGATCTAAATCAACATTATATATTGTGTTTTTAGAATTATTTTTAACTTCAAATATAGATCCTAATTGTTTGTACTCTAAATGTTTGATTTGTGCTTTAGTTAATGGAAACTTCTTTTTTAAATACTGTGCTGGGCGATTAGCTGCCACATCCAATATTTTCATTTCATAAAATGCCTCTAAATCATTGACTATAAAAAAAAATAGCTGTACTGGTGAGTATGCCTTAGTTCTATCCAGTATAGTATCCTTTACAATTTTAACACCAGCTTCACTAATATTGTTTGTGTTCTGTCCACGTGTTATGATAGATTTCCTAAGACAAAGTGCCCATTCATGACGTCTTTTGTAAAGATTTAAAACATAAGACTCAAATTTAGGGTACTTTTTGGTTAAAGTATTCTGTATAACTTTGGTATATAATGATTCTAGTTCTTCATTCGATTTTGAATACATCATATTTTTAATTTCATTATAAAGTGTTTGACGATGTTGTAAAATAATACCATGATTTGAGTCCCACAAATATCTCCATGTTGCCTGTAAAACATGGAATATACAGAGTAAAAGTGTTGCTTCTGGAAAAATTTCATTCAATGCATTTCTCTCAGCTTTTGAATCATCAGTCATGAAAACTTTTGGACCTCTTTTGCTTCTTCCACCTAACGCACTTGAGGAAAATAAATCGGTCCAAAGCTTTAAGCCTCTGGAAATTATTGAAGTTGATTCACTTGTTAAAATTACCAACTGGTAGTCCACCTGCACAGCTATTTGTGTATATAAGGAAAATTTTACAACCATAACGATCGACATTCCCCGATGCGTCAATAAATAAAATTTCCCCACTTTCGTCCAATCCAGAGCTTATTCTTTTCATTAATGGACTTTCAATGGCAATAACAAAATTACCATCTTCAAAATTTTCCATTAGGGCACAAGTTTCAGAACATTCTACATTATATTGTTCAACTGCATCTTTAAGTGAAGTTATCATTTCTTTGCCATGAGTAGCACCAAAATATTTACTGAATTCTTTATAATAAAGATTGTACACCCATTCTGGATTTGGCAATTCACCTCGATCTCCCGCATAAACATAATAGTGATTACCCTTTTCAAGACGAAGTTGTGATTTATATGAAAAAAGAGCTTTTGATGGAGTTTTACCTTCTTCAAATAGTTTTAAAAAATGTGTTTTTACTTCTTTGGTTGGGATTCTGTATTTTAATACATCAGCACACAATAATTCATGGTTATGAATATGTTTAAGATCTATAATTGCTTTTGTGTTATAATTCACAAATATATTTTCATCAGAATCATAATCACTTCTAAAAAAATCCAAAATTTGCAATTTTATTTATATAGGTATTTAAATTTATTATCACTAAAATGTTACTAACTGTGATTCACGTTGTTTTTGAAAATGTTTACCATCTATAACCACTTTTAAACATAAAGTAGCCTTGCAATCAAAATGTTTTGGACTTGGAGTTGCAAATTTGTTTGGCCTGGTGTTATGGTGACAACGGTAACGTTTCTATAATAAACATTTCAAAATTAAATTTTGTTGTTTTTTGAAAATAATTATTTACTAGGTTTTATTCAGAATGTCATTAATATACATAATAGTTGGTTCTATAAGTTATAGATAACAGTTATTATAACAAACCTTTGTCTCTTTTTATTTAATAATGTGTTTTCATATACATTCCCATACTTGGTATTTTATAAAAATATTTTTTAATATTGTTATTACCTTAAATAGAACATTTATGGATGTTGATTTTCTAACATTTGAAGTTAGATATGTTGTTTTACTGTTAGTATTTAAGTATGATATCCATGGGGATACATCTTCAATTCCAAAATCATAAATTTCAAATTTTACAATAAATTGTTCATTTTCCAATATTTTATTTTCAACAATTTTATACTTATAACCTTCTAGAAGTATACTCTGAAACAGATATTTTGGTTCTTAATTCAATTTGGTTCAATAGTTATTTATTAAGTATATTTAAAGTTGGACAACTATATTACATTCAAACATTTAGTCCTTTACAATTGGTGAAAGAATTTTTGAAATCGGTTCAGTAGTTCCAGAGATTACCCTCAACAACGCAACAAACAACTCCTCTTTATATAATAAGTATAGATAAGGATATATGATTGTTTTAATTCAATCTTTTGGTGAGCTTAAATATTAAATTAAAATTCTTGTTATAAGTTGGGTTTATAAAAACGATATTGGGGGAGAATTGTAGTGGTGTGCCAAAACCACAGATATATATATAAGTTATTATAAATATCTGTGGCCAAAACTGAGTGTAGGTAGGTAGGAAAAAAAATTAATTTGAGTAGCCAAAAAAATGAATTGTTATTATGACCAAAATTGATTTTTTTTTTACTTCCTACTTATCTACTTAATTCAAATATATATTAAAGAATAAAATAAAACCTGAAGGTATTTGTTTTCTTGAGTCTTCAAAGGTACACATTTTTTTTCAACATCACAATTGTTCACCATCTATAGATATTTTACAAAATAAAATTCTGTAATATACTAGCTGTTAAATTAAAATTTAAAATAATTTTTAAAACGATAATTATGAATTATACTTGTGTCCATTATATTTATATCAGTATAAGCATTATCATGAATTGTTCTTAAATGGCGCAACATATGTCTTCTTTGACAAAATTTTTTTTCACACTGTGAGCAACTTATTTTTTTTTGTTTTTGAACATTTTCAATCACACCATGTTTTTCACGCTTATGCCGTTTTAATGTGTGTTGGTATTTTAACAATCAGTTACAAATTTCACATTTGAAAGACTATAACAAAATAATGATTTTGTTTAAATCTATTTGATACAAAGGGAAATCAATATTAAATAATGATAATTATTTCCTATTACATAAACAGTAATATATTAAAATCTGAGAACAGTTGTACAAAGGTATGTACCTACCTACTAACCTACTTACACAAAAACAGACATGGATAGAATTTTCTTCGTAGGGGTTGCACAGTAGAAATGATACATTTTGTACAAGGTCTAGGAATTTTTCAAAAGACATTGTAAGGTAATATAATATAAATTATATATCATGACACGTCTATGATTATTAACAAGTGAATATTTAACATAATTTTTATCAATTTTAAACTACTTCATTGACTGTTCTGAGTTATTATCTGAAATAGCTTTCCATATACCAAGTAGAAACACAAGGCCTTTAGATCTATTCATAGTTCCTAATTATAATAGCAACATTTTATAAAATACTTTTTTTTTTAAGGCCTTTTGTTTTGGCTAAAAAGATTTCTACCTAATTAGAAGGTAAAGAGTATTAAGGAAGAGATATTCATTAGATCAAGATTTAATATATGATAACATTATTGAATTAGAGTACTGAAATATTTAAATCAACTACATTTAAACTTACTTTGCTACTTTTTTCAGTCTCCATAATACAAATTATACAAATTATAATATTATGTACCTACAACCAAAACTACAAAAAATAACTTATTTTTAAATTTTCAACTACTTGAACTACTTGAACATTCACCCATTTGTCAACACTCAACAATCAAGTATCTACATAAATTAATTATCTCCAGTTCTATATTTAGCTTTTGAGATAAACTCTTGATATTATATTTTATCACAGATATATTATATCTATTTGTATTATGTATTTTATATCTGTGTATTTTATATTATTTTCATATCATCCGTTATCAGTGATTAAACAGCAGCAGCTGTGGTCATAATTGATATCAGTGTTATACGAGTATAGGCAGGGGGAAGACGGATGGTTAAATGCGCCGTGACATGTTTTAAAATTTCGCAGGCGGCACTTATTATTATCATTATTTAATGTTATCATATTATTATCAATATTTAGCGTTATCATATTATTATCATTATTTAATGCTATCTTATTATTATCATTATTTAGCGTTATCATATTATGTTATTATTATTCATATTTTATTTGACCTTGAGCCTCGTAGGATCGCACGGCGGCGCTTATTACTATTAGAACAGTTGAAAACGCAAAAAATTTCAGAGATTCGAACCCGCTACCGGCAGGACACATGCACACGCATTAACCCATCAGGCCACGGGATGGTAATTCAAAGGAAAAAGGTACATTTAAGAACACATATTATATTATATTATATTGTATACAATATTACAATATTACAATTTAATATTTTATTATAATATATAAATAGAAATTTCTTAATAAAAAAAAATATAAATAGATATCAAATTATAGCCATTCTTTAGCAAGTTTAGGATTTTTAAAAATAGTCTCTAATTTATGCCTAAAAGTATAAAATGTGCTGAAAGGAATACATAAATTTTCTATTTTACTATATTTTGACCACCATACTCCTAGCCAACGTAGTTTTCTAACATATGTTACAGATAAATCAAATTCTTTTTTTATAATAATTTCAATTGTTAAACTTGTTTTTTTTCTGTATATTTTACACTGATGTTCTATATGAAATTTTTCTAAGAAAAACCCATAAATACATTTTTTTTTTTAAGGCTTTTTGATCATCATTAGAAATTGTTGATTTACAACTTTTTATAAATGTAATCAATTCATCATAAGTAACATCGTCTTCTAGGCTCGGATGATCAGTAAGAATATTATTATTATTATTAACTTTTAAAAATTGTTTTAAATAATCACTAATTTCTTTGCCTATAAGTGTATATCCTTTCTTTTTAGGTTTAGGCAACAATTTAAAATATTTTGTTACAATATGCTTAAAACATGGTGGATAAGTTGTTTCTCCAGTAATTAATTTTGAACGTACATCATTAAACTTTTCATTAGTATCTATACCAGCCATAAGTTCTAATAATTCTGTTAAATAACTAAAAAATATTCCTAAATCTTCTACCGCATCATTAACATTGAATTCTTCAGCCGTTTCGGAAGTTGATGTAGATTGTATATTAAAGTCTGCTAAATCTTCATTAACTCCGTCTAAATCATTGTTATCCATTCTGAAGTTGATGTAGTTGAAATTATTAAAAAAATTAAGATACTTTTATAGATACTATTTAACTTTAAACACGTTTAATAAATTATCAAACAAAAAGTATAATGGACCTTCTAATTGGAAATATATAACTCAACCTTAACAATATTCTAGAAGAAATTTATAATAATAATAATAATAATAAATAATAATAATAATAATAATAATAAAAATCTTCTAGAATATTCGATAGTAATTAAACATCTATTAACTAGAGGGCAGTATATATTTCATTTAAAAAAAAAATAGATTTTATAGAAATTAGTTAATATTTTATGTTTTCATAAAACAACTTTTTAAAGAATTACATTTTTTACATTTTGCAGACATTCTTTTCAAATTATTTTTAGTCATAATTATATGTGGATTAATATTATCTGTTTTTTGTTTACATTTAACACAATATATATTTCCCATTTATAAGAAATTAAATTAATATAATGTTTAATTATGCTGTATACTTGTAACCGTTAAGTTGTGTCTGTTTTAAGTATTTTTCTCTAGGGAAAAAGTTAATAGTTTCTTTAAAATCTGCTTCTTTTAAACATATACCATCCTCGATTATTTTATTAGATTTATACAGCAATATCAATTGATTATAAAATTTATAACAAATTCTGTATTCTACAATTCTTTCATTAAGCTTATATAAGATTTTTCAAAAATTTCTATAATTCCGTTTAATAACGAAAACATTGTTAATAAAGGTAATACAAACTAACCAATTGGGCCAATTGTACTTAGAAACAGTTTTAAAGCTAGTAAACAAAAACTGACTTTTGAATAATAATTGTAACTTTTTCTATAAACTAACATATTTTTTTCTAAATACGTTTCCATTTAAATATGATTATTTATAATAGCTATAAAACAAAATTTTAGAATTAAAAACGTGCCCCTTTTTGGGGGACGCGTTAAATATAGATTTTATACATCTAAAATTACATTATTCATGTTATGATTGTTTGATAACTAGTGCACGTTAGAAGCTGATAAATTTATATATGATAAATATATAATAATAATATTAATATATAAATTTATATTTAAATAATGGGTAAACTTTATAAACAATTGGAATCTTTGGCCAAAAAATAAAGAATTATTATTAATAAACATATTATTGCCCCAAAGGTTTGTTAATATTATTTCTGAATTAGATATAGACAGATATGATGGCGAAATGTATATGAAATATAAGGGTAAAAAAACTCTTGATGATAGGAAAACAATCCATTTGATAGAATTTGAATAATCGTAAGACCAGCGTCTTGCAAAATAGCAATAAATTATTAAAATTTTTCTCTATTAAATGAAATTAATTAAAATCATAAATGGGTCTATTCATTTAGATTATTATATACATAATAATGAAGAAAATATGTCTGTTGGATTATATGCTTTGTCATTTACCAATTCTGGTGATTTAATCAAAATAGAAAATGATTGTCAGATAACAATTAACACTAACGTAATTGATATTAAAAGTTGGCTTTATACTGTTGAAAAGTTAAATTAATTAATGAAACCATTAATTATCTCTTTTGTTGATAAAAAAATTAAAATAGAATCTCCATTTTACTATAGTTTGGATGAAAAATTAAAAAAATATTTAGGTTTTAATGGTATTATATATTTTTCAACGACATGTGACAAAGAAATTTACTATCCCATTAGTGATGAATATTACATAAATATTGAACAGGAATGTGAGTTTAAAGTAGAAAAAGATTCACATAAAATACCTATTTGAGTATATTCTATTAATGAAATTCAAAATTTATTAAATCCAGACAAGAACGTTGTTAATACTAAAATTACAGTGGTTAATAGATATTTAGTGATTTCAACTAACTATGAGTATGTTATTGACTCTTATTTAACTAATTGTTTAGGAATTCCATTGTTTAATTCTTCTTCAAGTTATAAAACTGAACAATCATTTAAACGAACTGTAAATGGTACACTAATGCCAAAATTTTACACTCAAGGTTTCCTAAAAGAAATAAATGGCGTTATCGAAACAGAAAATAGCAAAACTATAATAGGAAAGAAAAATTATACTATTGATCAATTAAATAAAATACTACCATCAAATATAAAAATAAAATAAACAGATAAACAAATTACAATAATATCTAGTATTTATTATTTATTGGATGAAAATTTAACATCAATCCTAGGAATAGATAAAAAATATATCCATAATCATATTGGCTCGGATATTATACTCGGTAAATATTTTGAAAATAAGTTTATCGAAGTACATTGCAATATAACTGAAAATTCCATTTCTAACCATAAAACTGTGAAATATTTGCATATAGACGATGATATTTTATGTGTTGTTAAATGTGATAAGGGTGGCCAATATATAGCTAATGACATTAAATATATTCCTCTAAATGCAATAGATTTTAAACATATTAAATTATTTATCACCGATCAAGATGGTATTGAAATAATATGTAATGACTTTGTTGCATATTTAATTCTAAAAACATAGATCTAGATAGTTCTATAAAATGTTTATAATAATTTCAAATTCTCAGTTATTCTTTAATAAAATCGTGACCGGAAAAACAGATCACGTTATACATTTTATATCTATTTTTTACACTCACCTAATACGGGTGAGTGTTAGATTCTTTGTAAAAACTCATAAATTCTATATTTAACGCTTGCGTAAATATCGCACACGTCATTTAATTTTAACTTTAAAATCTTTAATACCCAGTATATAGAGGAGGTTTTGAAATAATTTTTGTAAGGCGTACTGACGATGATGCTTTATTTAGAGACAAAAATGATAAATCAGAAGTTGTTACATGCGGCCCTTCAGGGATCCAAAAGCTGGTGTACTTTGATAAATAATAATAGTCAAATTAGTTTGGTAATCAAATGTATTATATTAAACCAGACAAAATAAGCAGAATAGTAGTGTTGATTGTAGCGAATTGTAGCTCGTTCAAGAATTGATAATCTCCGTGTAAATTGTGTGTGATGGCTGGGCGGCTAAGCGAGTCGTGTGGTGTTCTCGTCTCTGGATACATCTACTCAGGCTGTCTCGCTGTCCCCTATATATATGGTGGCGGCGTCCTTTGAAGTGAGCGGCTCGTGTACAGTCGTCCTTGATATGGACCTCACGACTATGAAAGTGGTATTCTTAGTCGAAAACACTTTTGGGTGTGGTCGCATTCCTGGTTGTTTTTATGAGCAAATACATGATATTACGTAATCCCATTAGAAAGTGGTGCCTGGAGCTGGAAAAGTTGTTATTGAAGAATTACTTATAAGCATACCAATTGTGACTTATAAAGATGCGTATAAATTTAAATTGATAAATGATTTAGTTTCATTGTCCAAGAGAAATGAATATACATTTAGATTCAAATCATGGCAGTGTATTGAAGAAAGTAATATTACTGGTAAAACACTAAACAAAGATATAACAAATATATATGCAATGTAATGAGACAAAACGGAGTGCCCATTTATGTGGCGCACTCTAGCGGTCTTCATTACATCCTCTCACAACAAGCGCCGCCGCCCAAAAAACGAATGCATCCACTGTGTGCAACGGACAAACGGCGCAACAGATAGCGCTGGCCGGCCACATAGTACAACAGCCCTTGGCCGCCCATCGGAAAACATGAGTTTTCTCAGCAACTAAAAGAAAAATCAAATCGCTGATTCCAGATTCGGAATCGTCAGCATTTCAACTATCATATTATTACTACCGACAAGTTCAAACAAGCACCTAAAAAACTCCACTAGCAAAAAAGAAACAGAGTCATGTAACCGGGACCAGTGTTCCGCATACTACACAAATACAAGCCGATGAGAGACCGTAGAGTCACCTTCTCCCCGCTGAGTGCAAGGTAATAGCGAGCCGCACGAGTTTTACCACTCGTGACTACGGACGCTATTCAGCTTGCACATATAACAGTGATTGGTCCAAGAGACTGCACAAGCCGCACCAGTTCTTCAACTAGTGATTAACGGATGTGTACATAGTCTTGCCCGACACTCCCGTATCCGCGCACTGTCGAACGCCGAGCCGTTGTCGCCGCCGTACGATCCGTTGTCGCCGCCGTCTATCGTGAACGCCGAGCCGTTGCTGCCGCCGTCCGATCAGTTTGTTTTTCATCGTAAACGCCGAGCCGTTGCCGCCGCCGTCCGATCAGTTTGTTTATTATTGTGAACGCCGAGCCGTTGCCGCCGCCGTCCGATTTTATGTTGTCATTATTTCAACGTCAAGCCATTGTTTACATAGTAAGTTGTATCGGATTACAACTTATCGCACGCTGAGCCATCACTACTGTCCCTGCAGTCTACCTGCACGAGTCAACCACGCCAACACCACCGGCAATTACCGTCTGGTGTATCAGAAGGGGAGGGTTGAACAACAGGACACTGCTGACATTCACCCACAATCCACATCTGTACTGACCTCATCACTGACGGAGAGTCCAAAAACCGTGAGTTATATGTACACATACCCACCCATTATATGTATCCCCAAGATAAATATTTTAAATGTACACTCGAAAGAGTATAAACTAATTGAAAAGAAATATTGTACCACGAATGATATAAAATCTATGTACAAAATAATTAAGTATGAAAATAAACGCACGATAATTACCATAAACCAAACAGCGTTGAAAATTCATTACAGCAAATATCCATAATCCTTTATTTGCTATCGTAGCTTTCCAAACAGATTTCTTTGTATTATCTATAAAATCCGGTATATTTTTAATTCCAGTTTTATTACCAATTTCAAATTGAGTATGTCTACTTTTAAAATTTTCTTCGTAAAATGTAGGCTTATAAATAGATTGTTCCTTACTGGGTTGCTCTATTATATCTTCATGAAATTCAAATGGAAATCCAGTTAACCAATAATTTTTTTCTTCGTCAGTTAATTTAAAAATAATCTCTAATCTACTGTCATTATA